TAGTGCCTTGCTATTATATGCTGTTTCATGGCTCTAGATTGAGAGATGTTATTTAAGATGATATATATATATATGTCATGAAATTATGACAATTATTTTTTTAAAAATGTCTTAAAAAATAATTGTCGGACTTTGTCCATTTCATAATGTATGACGTCATTTGTTTACATTTGGATACGCATTGAGCAGATATGAATGAATGAGAGTAAATATTGTTAATACTGTTTATTATAAAGAAAACATTTACTTAAATATTTGTATCTATAAAAAGAACGTATAAACATAAAATGTCTGAATATATATATATATATATATATATATATATATATATATATATATATATATATATATATTGGCAATCATTAAGAGTATGTATAATTGATAAATAAAGAATTAATGTCTTTAGTTTTAATAGGACATTTTTAGTATTACAAACATTTTTATAGGTTGACACTTTGTGATGTCGTGGGGATGAAATGCGACTTTTTAACGAGAATCCGAAACAAAGGATGTGACCTTGGAGGAGGAATCGGTGTTCGAATTCCAGTCGAGTTCATTGAATTCACTTACGCGCAAATTCTCTTGGGAAAGATATAAATAGATGCATTCTCCCCTAGCTATGGTTTAAATAGAATATCTGGCCAGGCTCTCTAGCTGAGAATGGCAATCAGTCTAGGAGAAGGACAGCTCCTAATTCAAAAACCATCGTAATTGTCCATGGTTTTAGACCCTCAATAATGAGGATGGGTAGAAGAAAAAACAAAGAGGATGAAGGGGACAGTAAGTACAGATTATGAAAATACGGGAAATCTGAAGTGTTCCGGGAAGTATCCCCTCGGGAGTTTGTTTCATAACGAAGCGGTTCTTGGGATGAAGCTACCAGAATGCTACTTCTCTTTTTATCAATACAGTGCATAGGGGAGAAAGTGGGGGGGTCGCGGGTCACCCTGGTTAACGATGATGCATCTAAGGCGGAGGGGTTGTAAAGTGGATAGTCATTCATCGCCTATAAAGCCGGCTAAACGTATGAAATTGCTGAGAAAACTCCCAGAGATTCCACCGCTGGCGAGTTTTTGTATCAATCCATGATGCCACACCTTGCCAAAAGCCTTCGAGTTATCTAAGGAGATCGCTTTCGAGATGTGTTTATAATCAGATATTCCACGTCCTGGGTAAGATGATGGACCTAGTACATGTTACTAGGTCCATCCTGACACGCGTTGGTGGCACATGTCAGGGTTCCAGCTATGGGCAAATAGTTAACCCCCAAACTGGTGTCAAAACACCATGAAAGTGTAAAAATAGGTTTTAATACTAGCAATAATATTTTTGAGGAAAAAATCATTACCAGCAATACATTTTGAAGAAAATAAATATTACCAGTAATACGTTTTTGAAGGAAAAATATATTACCAGCAATAAGTTTTTGGAAAAAATTTTTACCACCAATACATTTTTGGAAAAAAAAATATTAGCAGCAATAAGAATCTTGTCGGTATTAAATAACCCATTTATGTTGATATACTCTAAACCAAACCAAACCGAACCAAAGCAAACCGAAGCAAACGAACCAAACCAAACCGAACCAAACAAATCAACTATTCCACTGGTTCTATGCGTGGTAACAGTTAAGAGATCAGCAGTGGAAGTAGAGCAGGAAACTCCTACTGATTGTCGCTAAAAAGGTTGTTTCTGTTGAGGTGATCAACAACTTTCTTGATGATAACTTCAGAAGCTTCGCTGATTCTATTAATATGTATGATGCGGTGACATTGTGACATAGACAAGGGCTCAACTGCGTTCTTGTACACAGGAGCAGACACTAGGCACATTCCATGAGTTTGGGAATCAGGCAGCGATTAAATAAGATTGGAGACAGTTCTGTGCCAAAGTTCTTGAGAACAACAACAGGGATTCTATCCGGACCAGTAGCCTTCGTAGAATCAAGGCTTTTGATAAGTTTGGTAATCTCCCGAGTCGAGTTACAGATATCACAAGGCTTATGCTTCCTCGGTCGTCTAACGCAGAGGCAGAGAAAAATCTAATCGAAAAGAGATTAGCCTTATCCGATAAAAATAAGATTACCTCAGGGCCATGTATGATTGAAGGCACTGACTCTTTGCCTATGTTGAGAATTGCATTTGCGATTTTCCAAAACACGCGGGTTTTTTGTTTTCTATATTGGCATGGACTGTCTGCGCATCGTTGTTCTTTAAATTATCCAAGACTTTTCAAGCGGTTTCGCGTAGTTCTGAAGAAGGCAAGAATTCTAAACAACCTTCAAATAGTTATGTCTAACTTTCAGTGGTTTAGTATTCATCTACGTTTCACCATTCCTGTAGAGGGGTGTGTCTCAATTGACGTATCCGGTAAATTGCTGGAAATCATTTGCTCGACAGTAAATTGCTCGAAAAATAATTTCTCGAACTATCAATTGCTCGAAAGGCAGTTTGCTTGAAACCTGTGGTTAAAATAAAATAAAACTAGATTGTTTCTAATATTTACTATAAAATAAAATAATACAACTTTATTGTTGTTAACTGAACAATTAAAATTAAAGAACGATTACATTTATATAGCAGGTCTTTTTTTTTCTCGAAAGGCAGTTTGCTCGAAACCTGTGGTTAAAAAAAATAAAACACCTGTTAAGCATTTCATTTTTTGCATATTTCACATTCCTAGTAAAATCTTATTGTTCACTGTTTTGTCCTTAATATATATATCCATCCAAACACAACTTCTTTTTTTCCTTTTTCGATCTCAACAAAAGTTATGTCCATCACTAGGGTTCGAGATCTCCAAAATTACTGAAATAGAATTAGAAAACAAATAGAGAAATAAAAATCAGGACCGCTAAATTTGAGTGTTGTGGCTCCTTTTATATCCAGCTCCGTTGACGTGTCATGAGACAGAACAGTTTACGTGGTGCTTCGAGCTTTGAAATTACTTCGAGCAATCTGCCTTTCGAGCAATTGATAGTTCGAGAAATTTTTTATGCTCTTATATTCTCTATAATAAATATATTGAGCTCTCTTTTGTGGATCAGTTTTAATATTGTATATTATAGGATCTACTTGGATTACTTACCCACATATTTTTACCCATATATATATATATATATATATATATATATATATATATATATGCTGAAGACTATTCTATTTAGTCAAGTAACACATTGCCAATTGAAAAAGCTAAGCCCATTGAATTCAACACCTAACAATCATGGCCCAAAAGACATACATAAGAAAATCCAAAGCCCATGAAAAGCAAACGCAAATGATTGATACTGTAAACTCTTAACAACACGTTTGGGAATAAAAGAAAACAATCATTACATAAAAGGAGGAAGTTTATAAACTAGGTACAAGAGGATGCTATCGGGAGTTTATGATTTCTGACACCCAGCGACAATTTTTGGTTGATCAGATTGAGCAGAACCGAAGAAAAATCTGTGATCAGCCTGCAGAAGAAATTTAGAAGAAGTACATTTCTGTATCAAATGAATGCATTCGCCATCACGGCATGGCTTAATGTACACAATCCAAGATATACGAGTTAAACCTGAAACTGAAAATAGTAGCCCAAATAAGGAAAAGAGAAAGAAATTTGCCGAAAGATTGTTGGATTATCAAGCTAACAATTCCCCCATTCTATTGATAGCCGAAACAAATTTCAACCTTTATATTACGAGAACTCAAGGTTGATTCTTGAGAGGAGAAAGATGCAGTCCATCTTCACCGGCTTTTAAGGGTGCAAATATTCATCTAATTGCATGCATTGGTACCAAGGGGTTAATACATCCTGAAATTCATCGAGGTTCCTACAATAACGAAGCGGTTGGAAATTAGATAAATCTTTGCGGAAGACATATAAAATCTATGAGGAACCAACATTTGTTGTCCTTGACAATGGTCCATGCCACTCCAAAATGGAGAGACTTTTTACTCGATCCAGAATTTAAGATTAAACATTTTCTTCGAATCGCTTCGTACAGTCGCAAGGCTTTAATCTAATAGAATACGTTTGGCTGGTTCTAAAAAGCATTCATAAAAGAAAATACAGGTAAAATCTTCAATGGAGAAATTCCATCCGGGACAACGAAAAAGGGTTTCCGATTTGACAAATTCGAAGGCATCATTGAAGAATCCTAAAAAAAGAAATAAAGCCAATGTTATGGAATCGAGTCATATCAAAAATCCAAAGAATACTTCCAGCAGTATTAAATTTGAACGATGACGAGAATTAAACATTTTTTCTTATATCAAGAAACATTCTTGTTTTATATTTAGGTTTTTCCATTTTGCGTTTGAACGTCCTGGGTTGACAATAAACTACATCCAACTGCAAGGCCTCTTATTAGGGGGTTTTGAGCAGCGTGGAACCACCTCTTTATTACTAGGTCCACCTTGGGTGGTAGCACCTGTCAGGGTCCCAACTATGGGCAAATAGTTATCACCCAAACTCAGCTCATAACCTGTAAACAAAGGTTTTAATACCAGCAATACTTTTTGTAATAAATATTACCAGCAATACTTAAAGAGAAAAATATTACCAGCAATATGTTTTTGGAAAAGGAATACGAGCAATAAAAATCCTGCCGGCATTAAATAACCCAATGAAGTGGATATACCGTAAAACAAACCAAACCAAACCATTGAATTTGGAAAATCTCATCTTGAACTTGGTGTAGACTTGATTTGCAAAACTTTCAAAAAAAAATTACAGGTCAAAATTCGTTGTACTGTTTTGTTTGTACGGACAGCTGTGTTGGGGGTCCCGCCCAACTGAAAAACCTCAGGCCCGCTTCAAGGATGTCTGCAAATGAGACATGAAGCTGGCCGACATCGACCTCAACATCTGGGAGGCCGCAGCTGACGATCGTCAGCTTTGGAGAGCCACAGTCAGTGACGGCGTCACGATTGCAGAAGCCGCGAGGGAAGATCAGCAAGGCAGCAAAGAAAGCCAGGAGAAAAGCAAGGACAACCTCCGTCTCCGTGTCATCCAGTCTCATCTGCGCCAAGTGCCTGAGAGACTGTTGCTCCAGAGTGGGACTACACAGTCACCAGAGGCGATATAACTCCATCGCCGAGAATTTTGGTGGGAAAAAAAAATAGAATAAGCGCTACTCCATTGTCTCCCGAGACGGACAAATGCCGAACTGTTATGTCTATAAATTAAATAAAAAAGTTATTCATAAAACAAGACCATATCAATATTTTTAAGATGGATGAATCTTATAAGATGTATTTGTGTCGTCTTGTAGTTTGTGCTTAGTCCTTTCTTCTTGCTCTCCTTTTCTACCTTCTCTAGGAGATTTTATAATTTCATTTCTGTCTGCTATCAGTACTTTGTCGTCTGCGTTTCTCATGTTGTTAAGATTGTGGCCGACAATGCTAAATCCTGGTAGGATTTACAGTTCTCTTAGAATTGCCTCACTGTAGAGGTTGAACAGGTCCGGTGAGAAGACACATCCTTGCCTTACGCACGTTTCTATACTTGTATATTCGCTGAACTCGTTCTCTGTGCGCATGCATGCTATTTGCTGCCAGTATAGGTTCTTGTTTATATTAATATCTTTCCTGAGGTTAAATAAATACACATAGAAGGCACGATGGGTCATGCGCGTTGTTTGTTTTTGATTTTGTGGACTGTACAGTAGAGTAGGGTCAGTTGGGCACCGTCTGTCGCAATTCACTCCACCAGAAATTTGGAAGTGGCATGCTGTACTGCTTGTAATTCGTGCCGTAAGCTGCAATACAGACATTTCCGAGGGTTTGGGTGTCAATATAAGGACAGTGCAGGAGACTCGGAAAGAGTTGGATGATATATCCAGTCGATATTATTGTGTTTGGACTGATCACTAATGATGGCGACGTTATTCCTCCAGTTATCTTCCCAGAGGGACTCAGACTCAACACAAAGGCCTACATCAAGCACCGTGAGAAAGTAGTGCTTTCCTGGGTCAAGTGAGTGGCTGTTGGAAGAACCTATATCTGACATGAGGGCTATGCACCATGTCACACAAGCAGGAGAACCTAATCATGGCTATCAGACAAATTATGTGACCTCATCACCCCTAAACTCCTAACGCTCCAGACTGCAACCCACTTCATTATTATGAGTAGTAGTTCAGTGCTTCTAACCCCAAAGATGAACTGAAGGCAAGGGTTGGGTTATGAGAGCATTCACCAAATTAAACAAAGAGACTGTCTAGATGAGTTTCAGGAGATTCCGAAGTCATCTGGAGGCCGTGGTTGAAGCTAATGGCGATTTTATTGAATTTTAATATTTTTTGTAATTTTGGTAAATATATCTGTTAAAATTTGATGCCATTGTTATTTTCATTTTTACGTCATTTCGACGATAATTTATCCATCGCAGCCTGCATATACATACGTATGTACATATGTAAGTGTGTGTGTATATATATATATATATATATATATATATATATATATATATATATATATATATATATATATGCATACATTCATATGTGTATATATATATATATAAATATAAAAGTGAACATAGAAGTCAACACTTAGAGTCGACAGTCTGTTTCATGCTAGATGCAATCGTCAGGACACGAGAGCTGATATTAAAAAAAAATACTACGTTACTTAAAAATCGAAAAGAGAAAATATACAGTATAACAAATAAATAATAACAAGTAAAATAAATTGACTTAAGTTCATCCAAAAACTAACAAACTGATCCCGATAAACTAACTGTTAGAAAAAAACAAATAAAGATAATCAATCCAAATAAATACATGAAGTAATAAACAAATTAAAAACTGTTCCCGCCAAAATAATAGTTAGAATAAACTACAACAATCAACCCCAAAATTGAATAAATAGCTTTGATTATCTTCCAAAACCAAAACAAAAATTTAATTAAGCGATATAAACAAATTTTACTATATTAATAAAAACACCGATTAAAATAAAAATAAAATTAAAAAAAAGATATATATATATAAGATAAGAAAAAAAACAAGCAAAATAATTTAACCCAAATAAATAAATAAACAAATAAACGACTTCCGGTAAAATAACCGCCAAAATAGACTACCCACAATGCACTACTGACCCGGATATAAATCAATAGCCGAGAAAAATAACAGCACTCGTGGCCTCACGATTGCATCTAGCATGAAACAGACTGTCGCCTCTAAGTGTTGACTTCAATGTTCTCTTTTATATTTACACATGCTCTATCCTTGATATTGAGCACTTTATCCCATAAATATAGCACATCTTAAGACTATATTTCTTATATATATATATATATATATATATATATATATATATATATATATATATATATATATATATATATAAACCATATATATATATATACAATTTACATATGCACATGTTTACATATATACACACACAAACACACACACACACACACACATATATATATATATATATATATATATGAATACGGGAGACATTTTCAAGGATTAAATATTTTAACTGTTAAATAAGAAATAAAACATACTATTTCTTATTTAACTGTTAAAATATTTAATCCTTGAAAATGGTTAAATGTATAGCCGAAAGCGCTCGGAAAAAAAGAAAATTCAGATAGTTTTTATATAATTTATCATCTGAAAAGAAAAAAGATTATTAGATTCCATGAGTAATTGTACAAAAAAACTAAATCAAAGCAGCTTGTCAGTCGTATTCAGTGAAATGTGCATAAAAAAGAATTGATTAAATACACAAATAATATATATATATATATATATATATATATATATATATATATATATATATATATATATATAACATACGTATATATCTACATGCATAATTATATATACAAACACACACACATATATATATATGCATGTATTTGTATTGTGTATATTTTTTACAGCAGGAAATCAAAAATTACCTCATTATCCCAATGTTGAGGTATTTTTTTTTTTGCTGTAAAAAACACATATGCTCTGTTAAAATAAAACCATCAGTTTTTCTGTGGATCAGTTTTAATAATTAATCTTGCTAGGACCCACCCGGATTACATACCAACGGATCGATTACCTGTACTATATATATATATATATATATATATATATATATATAGAGAGAGAGAGAGAGAGATAGATAGATAGATAGATAGATAGATAGATAGATAGATAGATAGATAGATATGATCACAGTGAAATAGAGAGACATGAACACAGAGAAACAGATAGATAGATAGATAGATAGATAGATAGATAGATAGATAGATAGATAGATAGATATGTATAAACTAGAGGCATACTTTATTATATATATATATATATATATATATATATATATATATATATATATATAATATGTATGCATGTGTGCGTGTCTGTGCATGTAGATACAGGAAACTCTGATGTTATTGATTGATAACTCATTCGTTGATCTAAAACTAGAGCAAGTGCGCGTTTTCTTGGTGACTGGGTGGCTGGGTGGCTGGGTGGTGGATAGTAGATTATAAGGCAGGACCGAGTGCTGTATTGATGAATTGTCGCCCCAATTCGATGGAGCAGTGTGGCCATTCGACAGTGGCAGGTCGAGAGGCTGAGGACATCTTTGAATTGAGGTAGATTATTGGAAAGCGTATGCTACTTTTTAAAAAAAAAAGAAGACCAAGAAGGAGTAGGGGAGGAAGAGGAAGAGAAAGAAGAGACAATTTATATATATACACACACACATATATATATATATATATATATATATATATATATATATATATATATATATATATATATATAAAAAAAAAGAATGAAAGAAAGAAAAAAAAAACGTAGGAAGGCTGAAAGGAAAGCAGGAAGGAAGAAAGAAAGGATGGAAGGAAAGGAGGAGGAAAGGAGGAAGGAAAGGAAGAAAGAAAGGAAGGATGGAAGAAAGAAAGGAAGGAAGGAAAGGAGAAAGGAAGAAAGAAAGAAAGGAAGGAAAGGAGGAAGAAAAGGAGGAAGAAAAGGAGGACATCGGTTGATTAAAAAAGATGTTGAAATAAAGCAAGCGAGAAAATAAAACACAGAAAGAAAGAAAGAAAAAAGAAAGAAAGAAAGAAAGAAAGAAAGAAAGAAAGAAAGAAGAAGAGCAACAAGAAGACGATAGGAAGAAAAAGGATTAACAAAAATTTCCTCAAAAAAGTACTGTGAAGAAGTTATAAGAAAGAAAGAAAAAGAAAGAACGAAAAACAAAGAAAGAGAGATAAAATAAATAAAAGAAGGAAGAAAAAAGAAAGAAAGATGAAAAAAGAAAAAGAAGGAAAGACGAATAAAGAAAGAATGAAAGAAAGAAGAAAAAAGAAAGAAAAAGAAAGTAAAAGAAAGAAATAAAGAATGAAAGAAAGAAAGGAAAAGTAAGAAGAAGGAAAAAGAAGGAATGAAAGAAAGAAAGAAAAAATAAAAAGAAAGAAAAGAAAAAAGAAAGAAAGAAAAAAGGAAAAGAAAGAAAGAAAAGAAAGAAAAGAAAGAAAAAAGAAAAAGAAAGAAAGAAAAAAAAATGAATTATACAGAAAACAAATGAAGTAATAACCTTGACAAAACGAATTCAAACTAAAAAAAATTAAAAATGAATGAAAGAAAAGAAATTCCCATAATTTGACACTTTTCAACATAAGAAAAAGAAAAACGAAGAAGAATCTGGAAGCGGGGAGGGAAGGTTTAAGGAGGTAAAGCGGAAGAACGAACGAAAAATGAATGAAAAGATGAATTACAAAGAATAAACGAAACGAGCACGCATATATATATATATATATATATATATATATATATATATATATATATATATATATATATATATATATATATATATATATAGTATATATATATATATATATATATATATATATATATATATATATATATATATATATATATATATATATATATATATATATATATGTAATTAATGTACTTATATTCAGTTATGTTGATAAATGCACATAAAACACATAAATTTAAGTTGACAAGGTTAACATTGGTTGTAACAGCTTTTTATTGTTACTACTGGCCGGGTAGTAGTTACGGGAGAATTCTTCTCTCCCTGTTTACTCAATTTTGTTAGGCGTCGTATCATGTCAAGGACGAGAGTGGGGGGAAGATGTTTTTGAGATGGTAACTGTTGTTAAACTCACATGCATTGATGAGAGAGAAAAACACGGAGAGAGAAGGGGGATCATAGCCTCCACAAGGTCATTAGGGCGGGGGATAAATACAAACAGCTTAGGGTGGAATTCGAACACGGATCCCGCGTTTCGATTTTCCCCACTTGAGTATCGTGGCGCTCCCTCCACACATGCAACCATTTCCAGGAATGAAATTGTTGAGAAATCTCCGTGCCAAATTCATTGGAATTGTGCAAGGGCTTTACGGTCACAAGATATGCGCCCCCGGGGCAGGAGATGCGTAATGGTTGCAATTACCTTCTCGTCATGGGATGGCCATAAAATAAGTGGTGTGATTTTCATAGTAAGAT